TTTCTGGGAGCTTTGGCTTGCTAATCGTAGTTCTGGAAGACGGTACAGCAGAGTAGAGCCAGAACAGGATCTTATTTGTATGCCTCTCATACTGCTCACTATTCAAGCTCTATCTTCTCCATCTAAAAGGACAGTGGCCTCCCTTGGTCCTGCACAGACCTCACACCTCTAGTATGAAAAGGAACTATCCCTTATTGCCTCCAGCCTGGGCCTGGAGACCAGCACAATACAAAGGCAGAGAGGGGCAGAGGGATGCACAGGCCCTGCTGTTTGGCTTCACTTCAGCAAATTCTTCCTAGAATAGCTCATGTTCAAACAAAAGAAGGTGAAGTGGGGACATTTTAAGACATAACTAAAGATATGAAAGCATTATTAGACTTGAAAGCTAGATGTCTGATTTGGTGAGCGGGATTAGGGAAAAATTATAATTAAAAACAGTGGTGTTGGAGCTAAACATGAGAGGAGGAAAGACTATCTAATGCAAAATATTTCTGCCTATGGACTAAAAATCACTAAGGATCAATGACATGCATGACCTGGGAAGTAAGATTTAGAAATCATTTGGGAAAATTAGCATTAGCCTGATCCCTACTGAGGTAGTTTGGAAGTCAGGGTTGGTGAGTCTCACCCTTGGGGTTTTCCTTAATCAGTGCCCTTAGAGTATCTTGACCCCACCCCCTCTACCACCCAGGACTCTGGGACCACAGGAGGTTATTTATGTAGCTGAACAAAGGTGCTGACTCCAGGACCCAGGACCTTAGAACACAGGTTAAGCGGCTGTACTGCTGACAGGTTTATGGACCACAGTAAATGCCAAGGGCCCCCACCTCCTTTCTCTGTGCCGTTTGTATGTTAGGGTCTTACACGATGAGAAGCAGCTGTTCTATGAACTGCCAGATGAGGATTGCTGAAGGAGCTGCCCAAATGAATTAAAATGGCCTGGAAAGCAATTGCTACCATGCATTTGAAAACGTCAGGGTCACTTTCACACCAACAGAAAAGGATCATGTTCAAATAAAGGCTGGAGAATAGAGTAGTGTTTCTGGAACAGTTTTCTTCCCCCTCAAATGTCATTGACCAAAAAAGATAAAGGAAAGAAAGGAAAAAATGAAGTGATCCAATTGTGCAATAATGGGAACATAGATGAAGGTGCTATGTAGAATTTTGGAAAGAAAGAAATAATTCTTGCTTTTGCTCACATTCTAGTTAAAATAAATGCAGGTGTGTATGTATACATGCATTTATAGATACATCTATGACCTGAAAAATCCTATCATCACATGAAAATCACTGATCATGTGGAAATCCATTCTACTGCTTAGGCACACACAAGTCACCTGTGTCATATTGAATTTGCAAAATCTAAGACTGCAGAATCCATCAGTACATACGTGTCTATCTTGAAGCAGTCAGGACTTGATAGGTACGGAGGCCTGCAGGGCACTTTGCTAGGCATGGAGTTGCCAGCACAAGAGAGAAGAGAATCCAATCTGTGCCAGGTGTGGCACTAAGCACCAAGTCAGCACTATCCCCCTGCATCAGCGTGCAGAAGGCCATCCATATGCTTCTGTGCATAGGCACTTTTATTTTCTTTTGCAATGAAGACTGCAAAGACAGTTTTCATCATGCTAATGCTAATAAGCCACAGAAGTCAACTTGACCTCATACTGTGGCACTCAGACGTTATGGGGATCTGTTAGCTACTGCCACAAAAATACCACATGGAGAAATGCCCCAACACACTGGTTTGAATCAAGCATGATTTACTGCCACATATATGTGAGTTGGCTGGGCTCAGATGGTCACAGCTGAACACAGTTGGAAGTGGCTCTGCTCCATGTCGTGCTCTGTGACATCCATCTTTTTCTTAGGACTAGCAAACTGGCAGAGTGAGTTCTCCTGATTATAATGGCAGATGTGCAAATCTGTGTGGGGAAACACATACGGCCTTGCTCTTTCAGTCTCAGAACAGGCACAACGTGGCTACCTCCTCATTCCACTAAGTTATAAAAATAGCAGGCAGAAATGAGAAGTGCCCTTTTGCCCCTTTGATACAAGGAACAACAAAGTCATTAGGGCCATGGCATAGATAGGTAAGGGTGAAGGACTGAGGTGCATACATAATGAACCTCCTTCATACTCAATCCAGGCAGTGTAACCTAGAATTATTCCTGGAAGTTTGAGCACTTCTGCAAGCTTTAGGATTTGTTCTAGTGAGTACAAATCAATGTGAGGAGAAGCATCAGCTAGGAACAGTGTATCAGACAACCACATTCGCAAATCCCACTGCCATCCATATAAGAACAGGATCTTGCAATGGGGCAATGTTGGCAGGGCAATCAGCCCAGCTGACAACCAGGCCCACGACCAGGCCTGTGAGTTTGCCCACCCCAACATTCACCTCATCTACGAACTATTACAGCATGAGAAGGGAACCAGCCTACAGATCCAAAACTGTAGGATATTCATGACACAGGACAACAGCAGGAAGTCAAGAGGGGGCCACGTGAAAGGCCATGGTTGATGGTATGACAGAGGACAGAGGCCTCAAATCAGACCAAAACTAAATCAATCACTCATGGCAATGAACACTTGCAAATGAAGATGACAGGACTGAAGGGTGAAATGTGTATGTGACTCACCCAGGCCACACAACAGCTTCTACAGCCACCTCCTCCTCCTCCTCCTCCTCCTCCTCCTCCTCCTCCTCCTCCTCCTCCTCCTCCTCCTTCTTCTTCTTCTTCTTCTTCTTCTTCTTCTTCTTCTCCTCCTCCTCCTTCTTCTTCTTCTCCTTCTCCTCCTCCTCCTCCTCCTCCTCCTCCTCCTCCTCCTCCTCCTCCTTCTTCTTCTTCTTCTTCTTCTTCTTCTTCTTCTTCTTCTTCTTCTTCTTCTCCTTCTTCTTCTCCTCCTCCTCCTCCTTCTCATCCTTCTTCTCCTTCTTCTTTTTGTCCTGCTTTGTTTGTTTAGTTTGTTTTTTATTTTTCTTTTAAATTTTGTTTTGCTTTGGCAAGGAGGTTGCAAGGGTGGATAGGGGTGGGGGAAAGGGGAGATAGGCGGGATTGGAAAGCATGATGTGAAAACCACAAAGAATCAATAAAGGTTAACAATTTTTTAAAAAATATGTAAATTTCTTTTTTAAAAAAATGGCTGTATGATACCCCAGAGAAGTGGAATGAGGCAAGATCTCCTGAGCACATTGGGAACATCGGGGGAGGGGAGAGGGAACCAAGAAAAAGAGAGGGGGAGAAGAGGAGGAGAGAAGAAGGCATGAGGGAGCAGGAAGGTTGAGTTGAGGTAAAAAAATGGGGTCCTGGCAAATTAATTTCTGAAACCTTGTATTCTATATTCTAAGTACTATGTGTTTAGCATCACAAAGTCATTGTTTGATTTTTGTTGTTGCTTTGTTTTGTTGCCACCATAAGCCTTACAACTCATTAGGAGGCCAATTTCACAGACTCCGTAACAGCTCTCCAGGCTATGTCATGGGGCCTTAGTGTCTGAAAGGCGGAGCTAACCATGAACTGCCTGTTTGGCAGAATACTTGCTTACCCTTATTCCCACTACTATACAGAGGTAATAACCACTTGGTACTACTGCCTCCTCTGATTGCAAAGCATCACAGTGAAGTGTGCTTCCATCCTTGAAGATGTGGGCCTGTTTCTGCATGTCAATATACTAGGTGGATCCCCAAGACACACTGTGTCCATTGTGGACACCTGAGCTGGACCCAGGCCATTTTGCTCCGCAGACATACCATTGTTAGCTGTCTGGGAGAGTCAGATAAAGAAAGAACAGTTGAGCTGACCAATTCTTCATTAGTCTTTTGTTGTTTTTTAAGCTGTATTTATTTATTGTACGTGTGTGCGCATATGTACATCCATGTGTCTACACGTTTGCCACAGCACATGTAAATGATAGAGAACAGCTTCAGGAATCGGTTCATTCCTTGCAGCATGTGGCTTCCAAGGATTAAACTCTGTTAATTCAGCTTGACAAACAGCACCTTTAACCCCTGAACCATGTCATCGACCAATTAGTCTTATTGCAATAAAACTCTAATCTAGAACCTAGAACTGGCAACAGAAGACCTGGGTTCCATCCAAGCTCTACTGTTAATGATGTAACAAAGAAAAAAGTGTGAATAGTATTCATGCTTCAATTTGCTCATCAGTGAAATGCAGAAAGCCCTGGGTAAGTCATCCTCCCTGCTCTTAGGCTCCCCTTTAGAGGAAGTGCCAGTGATAGGGTGTATCAAGTGACTGGGGAGTCCTGGAGGTTGGCTTCCCTCTCCCATGCTGGTGTGCATATTAGTCATTTCTGCTGAATGTCTGAAGTGTTCTCTTATGATAGTATAGCCCATCTGTGAAAATTGGACTGACTGCCACTAGAGGGCCACCTTGTACCTACACTTTTGACTTCTCTGTATTTGGGAGGTATACAATAATTATTAATGGTTCAAATAAAGGGGAAAACACATCTATAAACTAATAATAAGTGGCTGCATTTTGAAAAGCTTATTTATGTGACTCACAGATTGAACCTAGAGCATGTTAGACTCTGCCACTGGTCTACCAGCCATAGCCCTTGACTAAATTTTGGTGATGGTGAATGGCAGAGGGTGGGTGTTCGTTTGTCTGTTTTTCAAGACATGGTTTCTCTGTGTAGACCTGGCTTTCCTGGAACTCACTCTACAGACCAGGCTGGCCTTGAGCCCAGAGATCTGCCTGCCTCTGCGTGCCACCACTGCCCAGCTTCATGACTGCATTTTTAGTAGGAAATGGTGTGATGGCTAATGTTCATTTTCATCATGGTTAGATTTAGACTCGCCTAGGACACTCCTCTGGACATAACTGTGACAGCATTTCCAGAGATATTTAACTAAGAATGGAAGGCCTCCTCTGGATGTGAGGAGCACCAGTCCATGGGACAGGGGCTTGCATAGAATAACAGAAGGAGGAAGTAATGCTAGCACTATCATCCCTCTCTCTGCTTTCAAACTCTAGATGGAATATGGCAAGCTGCCTCACACTCCCTCAGCATTCCTTCCCTGACAGAAAGAATTGTATCCAGTCAGAATGGGAGCCGAAAGAAACCCTCCCTCATTTAGTTGCTTCTTATCGGCTGTTTGGCCACAACAAACAAGTAACCACCACAGACGGTAAGGACAGCATGTGTTCAGTTCTGGGAACTAAAGCACAGAGGCAGCTTGGATGAGCTGGTGGAATGGGATGCACTGTTGTTCGCAGATCTTCATTCTAAACCCAGGCCTTCATCAACAACTCAGAATGCTAGGATTCTTGGGTGAGTCCCATGGTAATTTTGACTTTTAATAAAGGACAGGATCCTAAATTCTGTCATTTGTAATAGCACAGATGAACCTAAAGAACACTCTGCTGAACAAGGCACCAAGGACAAATGCTGCCCGGTCTTACCTGTATGTAAGATCTAAAAGTGTGTGAAGTCACAAAAACATGGAGCGTAGTGGTAAGAGCAAAGACAAGGGAAGGGGACTGTGATGAAGAGATCCTGGTCAGAGGCGGCAAAGCTCAACACAAGAAGGGCAATCTCCTGTGGTACCTCATGGTGATCAGAGTTCATTAAAAAATCTGTAATTTAATATTGCTAAAAGAGCCAATTTTAAATGGTAGCACTCCAAAAGGCAGAGAGATGTGCTAAATCATGCGGTGGATGCGTTGTTATAATTGCATCATACCATAGTCCACAAACATAAACAAGTGTCTGTCAATGGGAAGAGGAAAGAGCACAAAATCCTGGGCAGGCCACTGCTTATAGCAGTTAAGGGCTATCTTATCAAAGTCCTGCCTCTAAGGCCTCCCTGCTCCACTTGGATGGAGCCAGAGATGGGATCAATGAGGTGTCAGAAGTCTTAGTGACAGCCCTCCCCCAAACAGATACCCAGGCTCTCAGGGGCAAGATGTCATTGTTCGCTGTTGTCTGAGAGAGAAAGCAAACCTTTACCAACATCTGAGGATGAGTGATTCCCAACACATAAGCTGTTATCATGAGTTGCCCTTGTATGTCCGGCTGAGATGGAATAATCTAAAACCACCCACTCTGACTGAGTCACACCCAGTGCTGTTCTTCCCTTCTTTTGCTCATTGCTACATCTTTCAAAATCTCAGCTTAGTCTTTGTCCTGCCCAGCCTCATCTCCACAGATTTATGCAGATACGTGACCCTAGTCACCTAGCAATATTCAACCTATAGCAATGATTTGATTCCTTAGTCCCTCCTCAAATGAAACAACCAAAGCCCACACCCCACATAAGGTTCTTGTAGCATCTTCTTATCTCCAAACTCCTCAGAGTCCCCGTGATCTACACACTCTCATTTCACTAACAATAAATTCAATATGCCCTGACTCCAGAGGTGTCCTAGTGACCTTTGGTTACTGGCTAAGTCCTCACTAAGAGCTGAGTACATTCTGGAAGTGTGTTGACTCTGTTTTGCTTGCTGTCTACCACCCGCTGCTGTCTTTATCAGGAAACCTGGCATGTCTCTGTCCATACGCCGCTGAAAAGACTATATTCTTTGCACATCCAATTGATTCTATGTCCTGTCATTCACCAGCAGTAAAAGCAATCTGTATGACACTGGTCAGGAATCCCAAACTATGTAGTATATATTTACTGAATGTGGTGGTTTGAAAGAAAATGCCCCCCATTGGCTTATAGGGAACATACTACTGGAGGGTATGACCTTGTTGGAATAGATGTGGAATTGTTGGAGGAAGTGTGTCTCTGTTCGGACAGGCTTTATGATCTCATATGCTCAAGCTACACCCATGGTGACCCGCAGTCTCCTCCTGCTGCATGTGGATAAAGATGTAGGACTCTCAGCTCATTCTCCAGCACCATGTCTGCCTAAATGCCACCATGAGCCAGCCTCAATTAAATTTTTTCCTTGATAAGAGTTGCCATGGTCATGGTGTCTTTCGTAGCAATGGAAATCATAACTAAGACATTGAGCATCTACAAGGAATACACCGGTCTCAAGCTTATAGGGAAATAATTTCCCTATGTACATATTGATCAACCTTCAAGAATTTTATTTGATATGGACACAGATCGCTCTTCATGAGGCCCCTGAAAGCTCCCATCTGTAAAGGAATAGGAAGCAAGTACATTCTAATAAATCTAAAGTTAAAAAACAACCCTGCCATCTACCAGCTCATTCTTATCTGGACATTGGCAAGAGGCATTAACAAAATGGTAATTTTTTCTTAATGGTTACTCAAAACCTGGGCTTTTTCCACAAGATTTTAAAATGCACAGGGTCATTGTTTTCAAACAATGTGCAGACTTTGATAGATTCACTATCCTTTCATGTTGGCAAAGGCATAAATGCAGGGATGCTAAATAACTATAGAAACTATTCCATTCCACTATTCCACCCTGGTACAGCCTTCAAACATCTCAGAATAATCAACCACCAAGGGAAACATCAAGGGGATAGAAAACCATCTGGTCTCTATGGCTAGAACACTTAAACAGCTTGTAAAGGGGAAAAGCTAAACCTCTCAACAAAACCTGGCAGGTGATAAACACAAGATTTATAAGATGTATCAACCAATTGCTGCAGACCAACAAGATCAAGATCAAGCCACAAGAAGACACTGATGGAACCCAGAGCCCCAGGCTGGAACAAAAAGACAAGCAGGAAAAAATCCTGCAAAGTAATAAAACTAATTACAGCTCTACTACCATAAATGCTACTCAAAAGAAATCTATTTATTCTCTTTACAAAGGATAGGAAATCCGAATAGAATAAAATTACACAGAATGTTGCCCACATAAAGCATTTGTTGAGCATTCCAACTCAGTTGTGAGAAGATTTTAAAGATAGCCCCATGAGAAAGGTCTATTCTATAATTATCTAAGTCAGTTATTTTTGGAGATCAGAAGGTACCGTCCAATCCAAAGAAGACTTCAACCTAAGTCCTGTGAGGCAATAAGCAGTTTCCAAACAACCCAGGTCTTCCAGCATATGTCTCTTTGAAATATTTCTGCTTGCTCTGCCTCTTCCTTTCCTCTTTGGTAGCCTCATGCGTTTCTTAGCTCATGGATTCATTCAACAAAAGTAACTTTCTGAGCCAAACAAGACACAAGTCTCATTTGTGTGTGAGTCACTCCATGCTTGATCACCCAGGCCACTGGAAACCTCTGAGAACTGAGTTTGACTCTTCAGGAAGGACTTGCTCACTGTGCTATCAAAGCATTGCTTCATGTCATTTCCATCTGTCTTTCTAAAGCCACCACCAGGAGGGTACAAAACTTCAAACTGAGAACTGCCCGAGGACAGTTCCCATTGTTCAAACCCTCTAATGTCCTCTTGATTTGGGGTGTGGTTTCCTCACCAAAATGGCATCGTCATATAAACAGAGCTGCTCCCTCCGCTAACATTTGCCTTCTAATCCCAGCATGCAACAGTGATCACTGCTGTCATTTTGTATGAGCCTTTTTGTACTCATCACATGGAAAAATAATTTTTAAAACAAAATTGGATCGTATCATCCACCATTTCCTGAAACTTGCTTTACAGTTATCATTAAATCTTTGTAGTTCGTTTTTGCAGATATACTTTCTTCTTATTGCAGGTCTTCTAGAATTCTACTGACAGGGGTGGGGTCCTTCTGAGGGGAGGAAAGTGTCCTTCTGAGGAGAAAGGCACTCTTCTGTACTGTTTATCCATCATGCCCTTCCCATGGCAATCACAATAAATGTATTTAAGTGTCAGAAAATAAGATATAATGACCTACCAAGCTTGTAACTTTTTTATTTATCCTCAAGACATTGAGAAAGATGTGAATGACTTCTTTTTTCCATATTTTTATTTAACTTTTTACACATGTCACTTTCAGCTCCCTCCCTCCCCTCCTCCCCCAACCCCCAATCCTCCCAACCCCTCACCCCCATTCTATCCTCCATCCACTCCCCAGGGAGGACAAGGGCCTCCATGAGGGATTTCCAGAGTCTGTCACATCATCCCGGGAATGGCCGAGGTTCTTTCCCATGTGTCCAGGCTGAGAGAGCATCCCTCTACGTGGCATGGGCTACCAGAGTCCCTCTGTATGCCAGGAATAAATACTGCTCCACTCTCCAAGGTCCCACAGATTGCCAAGGCCTCCTCTCTGTCACCCAGGTTCGGTCAGAGGATGTCTGGATCAGTCCCATGCTGGCCCCCCAATCATCAGTCTGGGGTCCATGTGATGCCCCTTGTTTAGGTCAGCTGCCCCTGTGGGCCTCGCCAGCCGGATCCCCTGTTGGTCATCACTCCTGTTTGCAAGTGGGTTCCAGGAGTTAAATTCAGTTCACAGCTGTGGGTGTCTGGATGTGGATAACTTCTAAACCTTCTGACTTCTTCCAAATGTAACTTCATGAGCACCCTTCAATTAACAGGCTGACCCTAACTTTTGGAACACACCACCATGATCCTTCAAACTGCAATAAAAAACTGAAAGACATTTAAAATTCCCTTCCTCAACTTACCCTCCACCGTCAGTTAAGTGCCAACTTCTATCATTTCTTGCTGTACTGGTTCCCATTCTTGCTGCTGTGACCCATTACCTGATGAGGAACAACTTTACAAATGAAGACCTTATTTTGGTTTACAGTTCAGAGGAATTCAGTGCACCATGAAGGAAATCATGTGATGGGAGTAGTTTCTGGCAGAGCATCAACCAGGGAGCAGAGAAAAGTGAATGCTAGTAGTCAACTGTCTTTCTCCCTTTGCTACTTTTATTTAACTTGGGACTCAGCCTATGAGATGGCACCACCAACATTCAAGGCAGGCCTTCCCTTCACAGTTCATCATCTTTGGAAAAGCTTGTTGTGCCTTGTGTGCTCACATTGACAAAGGCCAGTCTTGGAAAACATTCTCCATGTCACATTCAGGTCCCAAAGATACACAATTCTTACAGAAGGAATAACAGACTGTATTATCCTCACAGATATAAGCTAACACCTGTCTAGCCTATCTCCTAGGAAACATCTCTGATTACTTGAATAGCACGTTTCATTCTTCTTGGTGTGGTTGTTTGTAATGCTACTGTTCAATGAATGTGGACAAGTTAGAACTGCATAAAGCAGTGAATGACTGTCAAGTTGCAGTTTGTTTGATAAGTGGTAGCAATCTGTAC